GCAGAGCGTTTATAGGTCTTCCTGTTAATCATTTGTTCATTCCGTGGTTTTCAATGCATTTCATCATCACTTTCCTAACTGCAAACAGGGTTTTTTGTAAGTGGATTCTTTTGCACTTGAATCCTTCTTACAAAATATTGATGGTAGGCAGCCTTAATTAACATAAAAATAGCTCCCTTGAATCAGGCTGATGACCCATCCAGTCCATCATCCCTGTTCTCACAGTGGCCAGCCAGATGCCTGTAGGAAACCCACAAGCAGGACCCAAGCACAAGAGTTCTCTCCCCTCCTGTGTTTTCCAGCAAAGCCTAGGAGGAGGATGGCACAAGGAGAAACTGTTAAGTTGTGGGTGAACATATCAGACGACACAGCGATTCTTCAAACAGCTCTTGTTTATTCACAGGCCAGAACAGAACTGAGCTGAAGGGTTCAGCCTGCCTGCTTATATAGAGCTCCACTACAATGCAACAGTAACCACTTTCTGTAACTATCCAGTCACTGAACGTCACTTTCAATCCCTTATTTGCATATGTGGACCTGAGTGAAAACTATCTACAGTATCCCCTTGCTGGCTCAGGGTGAGAACTTCAGTACATAACAGAAACAAAACACACACACACACACAAACACACACACACACAGACACACACACACACACACAGAGAGAGAGAGAGAGACAGAGTGAGTGAGTGAGAGGTTGGGCTAGTTGTTTTAGTCATAGTCAGCTTTTAGACTGCTGGCTGATTAAATCTAGATGGTACAGGTATCAGGCTACAAACTTAGGGTTTGAGGCTAAGAAACAATGGCTGCTCCCCCATGTATGAAATTATAAAGCCCAAATCTTATACAGATCTGTGGCATACCTTAATGAAAACACATGTTCCCAGTTAGGCAAAAAGCAGCAATAAAGAGAAACATGGCAGTCTCTATATTAGCATAGCAGAAGAGTGATTCTGTTGAAAGAATTTCTGTAATGCTTGGGGCTACTTTGGGTTTTACTCCTAAATTAAACTTGTTCAATCCGACTGAGGTTAACAGTTCTATGGATTTGAAATCAGTGGTTTCAATTTCATTGATAGAAGCAAAAAAAATATATATATATTGGCAAAGAAATGCCAACAAATCCCAATGGACTAGGAACATTTATTGAAATGCCTTGAATTAGCAGAGTGGATAAACTAGCCATATTGGTCCAAAGGAGGAACGGAAGATTATGGGAGAATAATTTGGCCAGCGATGGACTTGTTTTGTTAATTAGTGAAATACAAGATAAGGTAATGTAAGAATGGCAAGAAATCTTTTTCTGGAATGTTGAAGGAGGATTAATAAAATGAAATAGGGGTGAATATTGATTTTTCTTTTACAATTTTAAGCAGAGATGCCCTCTTTGTGTCCATGTCCAATATTTTACCTTGGGCCAGTCACTGCTTCTCAGACTAACCACATTCACAAAGGGTTGTTGTGGGAATTAAATGAGGCAGGGGAGAATTGTGCATGCCACTTGGAGCTCCTTCGAGATTTGGTGGGGTAAAAAGGCAATAAAATAATAAAATAAAGCCCAAACAAGCTGTGGTTCTGGAACGGTAATAAAAAAGACAAGAGAAATTAAGAAGTGGCTCTTTAAAATGTGCATTCAGTATATAAAAGTTCAGGATGTACATTTGGGACAGCGACACCTCTGGGTCAAGAATAGCAGTGTCAATATGGGAGCATGTTAAGGTGCTGGATGCTCTCTGCAAGCTGCCAGTTTCCTCTACCTAATTCTAAAGAGCAATAAACCTCCCTGGGTATCTTCAAAAACATCAGCTGAACTGAAATACAATAACAGTCATCATAATGAGTTCATTACTTGACTTCCTTGATTTAAATGCAAGGAAGCCAATTCCATTAGTGAATCTCCGAGGTAAATAAGCTACTTTTGCAAAACAATTTTTAGCTGTCCAAAAAACAAACAAACAAACAAAAGCAGACAGGTCTCTGCCCTGAGTCTAGATGTAGACTAGGGGTGAAGTAGCTATGACCTTCAAGACAGTGCTGGACTATAGCTCTGACCCTCCCTGAACACTAGCCAAACTGACTGGGGCTTATGGGAGTCCAACCACATCTGGAGGGCCACAGGTTCCACTTCTCTGATTTAAGCAGTATAGGAGACACCAGAAGGAGGGAATGGTTGTGTGATGTCACTATACCTGTGCGCATCAATCCAGAAATTGCACTGGACAGAAAGGCAACTACCAGAGTGCTTACACCAGTTTGCCATTTCATCATTACATGAAGACTGTAATGCAGTTGCCCAATCAAAGTTACATATGAATATATATATAAAAGTTTTCAGAAATCTTCTGAGCAGTGCTGATCTGCACAATAAAAAAGAAACCAAATACTAGTGAGTGGTTTCAAGTTAGCCCTGATTTTAAACATGAGGTAGAATAATTACGTTCTCATTCTTGCAAGGTGATGTCATATAAAGCGGTCAGCATTCCTGTATAAATCGGTGACGCACGCAGCTTCTTAAGGTGGTTCCCAAATTAGCAAGCCCTCCGTCATAAAATCATTATGTCATTTTTGTCCAAATATGTACAGTCTGCAACAAGCCTTCTGGAGTTTGCTCTGGGTCTGTTATTTATCTTGAGCGATGTCAGTTTACAAAATGGTTTTGGCAATTTCCATTCCAGTATCAAATCCTCCATGTGGGGGTGGGGGTGAGGAGGGAGCCACTGGATTATAAATATAAACATTTCCAAGTTTTAAAATGTTGATACTGAAAATCCATGATCTCTCCCTCCTTGTAGTGATCTCATGCACGATCATGAAAGAAGCTGGTAACTTTTTTCCCCTCTAAAGTGTGTACCTTGTGTATGATTCAGCCAAGATTTAATATAATTTCCTGCTTCTTTTTTTCATATTTAAAAACAGTGGATGCGACTGTTTCTGCACAAAGACACATTACTTTCTCCAGATATAGGTCAACTTTCTAAAAGGCTGGCTGTGCATTTAAGATTAGTGTTCCATGAGTGTCTTGCTTTTTGCAGCGCCCCATGTAATGAGTCTGAGAGATGAGTTGTGCCTCATTCTTTGCGCTATTCTGTCGACTTCAGAGCGCTGCCTGCACCAGGGATGTATTTAGAAGCCTGCTTTGAGTCATATGTTTAGGGAAAGATGAGGGTGATTAACTGTGCGCAAATGACACAATTTGAACCACGATTGTGCCTATAAAGTCTTATTCATGTGAGCCGGTTATAAAATCATGAAAAATGTTAGGGGCTTGGAGGTACATTGAAACAACACCCAGTCCATCCTTGGCCTCAAAGAAGGACTAATTGTGCCCAAATTATTTCTGAGACAGTTGTTGTTGAAACACAGTTATTCTGAAAGGCTTGCTGCAGGGGCGGCCTGTCCTGCTTCACCACGTGAGGTGAAGTGGGAATTGCAGCCTCCTGCACCAACCCCACTCCTGCTGCCATGCGCCCCAGAGCCTTGCTGAACTCAGCGGGAACCAGAACGCTTGTCCAAGCATTGCCAATTGGCTTCTCCACCAGGGACAGGGAAGATGAGAGGCAATGCCATGTGCCTGAGGCTAGTCTCTACAAACACTAGAACTCTGATAATGCCTTTTACTTTCCTGGATAGAAGATAGAGAAAGATACCTGAGGAAAACATTGCAGCCAAGGATGGTGTGAAGCAGGACCACTAAGGGCCGTGATCTGGGGAGAGAGGGGCAGCTGGGGATGAGCCAGGGTAGCCAGATAAAGAGAATGAGATTGAGAATGCGATTGGCATGCCCTGAAACCAAACACAGGAACTATAGATAAGTTCCTTATAATATTTGTGGTTTTGGAAACAAAGCCTGATTTCCTTTCAGAAATCCACATTCTTCCCAAAGATGAAGCTCTTTCTAACAGCAATAAGCTTTGGGGGTGGGAGAGATTGTGATTTTCAGTGTGTCAAGATGATGCGTTCAGCACTCAAAATTCAAAACAGCTTCTATACAGTCCCCCAACAGCTGAGCCTTTGTCTCATTCTACTCCATATAAGCCAAAGTTATATGACTAAATGCAAGAGAACAGGCTGTACCTAGAGTCGATTGCTATACTTGAACAGTTCTTGCCAAATGGGAATCATTTTCTGCTGCACTATCCAAAAGAGTGGAGTTTGTTTTGTCATCGTTCCCCCCCCCCCCACCGAAACTCTCCAACGACTTCTGGAGATTTGCAGGCCTCTTGTCTGAGATGACAATAAAATCACAAGTGACTCTTCACTCTGTTTACCCTACATCATTCTAACGTTTGACTGAGTGGTCACTGAATATCGTCTCATCACTTCAGGCAGTTATCCAACCAGCAGAAGCTGGATCACTGGGGCCCAGGGCTCCCCCTGAAAATGTCAAGCAGTTCTTAAAAACTTCATCTTCAACATTTCAAAGCCTCACACTCTTTCCTGTCCCACACATATTTTATACAGTGGTACCTTGGTTCTCAAATGGCTTGGCTCTTCAACAAATCGGCTTCTGAATGCCACAAACCTGGAAGCAACTGTTCTGATTTGCGAACATTTTTTGGAAGCCAAACGTCCAACACGCCTTCCGCTTGCCTGCAGGAAGCTCCTGCAGCCAGTCGGAAGCTGCGCCTTGGTTTTCGAATGGTTTCGGGAGTCGAATGGACAACTGGAACGGGTTAAGTTCAACAACCAAGGTACCACTGTACTTCCTTGAACTTACAGAGGCACTGACCACTGGTCCTGCTTGCTAGGGATGATGGGAGTTGTAGTCCAAAAACAGCTGGAGACCCAAATTTGGGAAAACCTGCTCTACACAATGTGTACTCAAAAGTAAACCTTGCTGAGTTCGAAGGACACTTATACCCAGGAAAATGCATTTAGGATTGCAGCCTAAGCTTTCAGGGATCCACACAGTCCCAGCGTAGGCAGACTGGAAAAAATCCAACATCTGCCATGCTCCCTGCTCCGACAGAGTCTGTGGCTCTTTTAATCTCCCATTTCTTCCCTGGAGTTCTGCCGTTGCTGCAGCGTGCCTTTGTGAAACACATCTCCCCGTTCAAGCAGCAGCAGCTTTTCATTTGCGTTTTATCTTTTTGCTGGGGAATGCGGAGCTATACAATCAGGGGCGAAATACGCCATGAAAAGCCGTGAAAAGCAAAGGGGGTCAAGGATCTGAAGTTACCCACCATATTAATAACAAGCCAGCAGCTGCACCATGGCAACCTGGGAGAAGGCTGCTCAGCGTGGAAGCCATGAGCGGTGGATGGAAGGGCTCTGAGAGAACACTAGAGGGAAGTGAATGGAAATAACATGATGTTCCCGTTCTTCACTGCCAGGACAGACATGTGCAGCTTAATCCCCTGGAGGCTGAGACAGCCCAGGATTGCCAAGAAAGGTCCGGAGGAAGCAGATGAGGAAAATAAAGGTGAGCGGCGAGCAACAGTCTTGAACCCATGCAGTCAGTGGTGTGATAAAGGGTTCCATATTCCTTTTACACATCACTTGGGAAGACAGGCAAACTAATGCCAGTGTACTGGAAGAAGCAAAGATCACCAGTGTCAAAGCAATGATTCTTCAACATCAACTTCGTTGGACTGGTCATGTTGTGTGGATGCCTGATGATCGTCTTCCAAAGCAATGACTCTATTCCAAACTTTAAAATGGAAAGTGTAATGCTGGTGGTCAACAAAAGAGGTTTAAAGACTCTCTCAAGGCAAAACTTTTTTTTCTTTTTTATAAACACCGACAACTGGGAAACACTGGTCTGCACGCGCTCCAGTTGGAGAACAGCTATTACCAAAGGTGTCATGGGCTTTGAAGACACTCAAACTCAGGATGCAAGGGAGAAACATGCTAAGAGAAAGGCACGCTTGGCAAATCCACACCGTGATCAACTCCTGCCAGGAAACCAAGGTCCCCACTGTGGAAGGACGTGTGGGTCCAGAATTGGCCTCCACAGTCACTTACTGTTAAAACCATGTTTATGGAAGACAATCTTACTCGGCCGAAGAAGATAAAGGGTTCTATATTCAGTGGTATCACTTGGCTTGGATTCTGCTCCTGGGAAGAGAAAGAGATAGAGCTTGCTGGGCGATATCAGAAAAAGGCCTCCTCCTCCTTCTCCTCCTCCTACTGACCATTCTGTTTTTCTTTGTTGCTGCTTGTGCTCTGCAGAGTGCCACTGAAGCAATAATAGTGCATTAGTGATGGATTTATACTGGACTGTCCACACATCGTTCTGCTGATGTTATTGCATTCTTGCCATCTAGAGGGGCAACAAAAGTGGGACAAAAAGTAAAAAAATAAACAACATTTGTGTTCAGCAGGAAGTTGGCAGGTTTTAAAACTCTTAAGTGGGCTCATTGGGGTGGAAGGGCTCTCTCAAATAAGGCCCAGACCACATAAGTCTTTAAAGATCCAAACCCGCACCTTGAATTCAGCTTGGAAAAACAAACTGGTAACCCATGCAGATATTTCAGTACAGGTGTGGTGCATTCTTTGCCAACTCTATTCCTAGCATATAGCTGAGAATCTTAAATTAACTCTTTGCACATTTTTGTAATACCCATGTGTTGCCGCTGGGATGCCAGACACCTCATGGGAATAGTAAGCAGAAGAGGCATAAACGGAAGGACACAAGGCCCCAAGACTTACAAAAGTTTAGAGAAGGAGAGGGGTAAATCAGTGGTGTCATTTTCCTCTGCATATTTTGCTTACCAGCTTTAAAGCAAGGAGAAGCAATCAGGAAAGGGAAAATCAAACAAGGTTGGGTTCTCTTTTCTATACTGTGTTGAGGTTTGAGTAAATAAATGCTGTTAAATAAATGGTGATGAAGAAATAAAACTAAGTTGTCAAATAGCCCTGCCATGTTAGAGGTGTATCTGCAGCTTGCCTTCCTCCTGTTGATAGGAGCAACTTACCGTATTTTGCGCCCCATAGGACGCACCGGCCCATAGGACACACCTAGTATTTTGGGGGGGAAATAAAGAAAAAAAAATTATTTCCCCCCCAGGTGCGGGGCTGGAAGAACCAGGTCGGGGAACAGCGGGAAGGCGTGCTCCGCCTCCCCGCTGTCCCCCGAGCTTGTGGGGCTGGCGATGGGGAGAAGTGCGCTGAGCCCGGGACTGGAGGCAGCTCTGCGCAGCCATCGGGAGCCGGGCGGGACTTTGCGCCCCTCTCCCGATGGCCGCGCAGAGCTGCGCTGAGCCCGGGACTGGAGGCAGCTCTGCGCAGCTATCGGGAGCCAGGCGGGACTTCGCGCCCCGCTCCCGATGGCTGCGCAGAGCTGCGCGGAGCCCGGGACTGCAGGCAGCTCTGCGCAGCCCTCGGAGCCGGTCTCCCGAGGGTTGCGCAGAGCTTCCTGAAGCCTGGAGAGCGAGAGGGGTTGGTGCGCACCGACCCCTCTTGCTCTCCAGGCTTCAGCGAAAGCCTGCATTCGCCACATAGGACGCACACACATTTCCCCTTCATTTTTGGAGGGGAAAATGTGCGTCCTATAGGGCGAAAAATACGGTATGCCAGACTCTCAAACGCTACATTTTGGAGAGTTTGGGCCCACCCACACACTTCCATTCACTCTGCCACTTTCCCCTGAGATAAACTGCTGTTCAGCAGTGAACAAACAATTATCAGGTTTTCCATGAATAGCCATTTGTTCCAAGTTAGCACAAAAGAGCAGGTTTTTCATGGGAAAGTGGCAGGGCAAAAAGAAAAGTGCAAGGCTCTGTCCTTTCTAGGCACGGGACAAGCGGAAGTGTGGGAAAGCCCTTTGTTTTTACCACAACCATGGACTCAGCTACAGTAGTAAAAAAAGGTGACGCTTTGAATGTGTTATAAACATGCAACACCAGATGGAGCCAGAGAGCAAATAAATTTTCTATGTTAGTTTTACATAGGGTTCTTTCTTTATTTCGTTATAACGATTTAATTTCTGACTTATTTATAGCATCCCCCCCCCCCCCCGTGTGCAGATCCACCCCATTTCAGCAGTGAGATCTGGTGGTTGCCACATGAAGATTGATCTCGTGGCAAATTGCCAGCATTTGTGAGAGACAAAGTGTACTATATGCAAAAGAGAGGAGGTAATTAATATTAAAAACATTGGGTTACATAAGAAACAAGCCTGAGAAGTTGGCCTTGAATTCCTGTGAGAGAAGACAGGAGTCCTGTTCAGGCATTTAAAGACATGTGATGGAGAGATCACATGAGGGAAGAGAGCTGTGTACATAATTGCAATTTACTTGGGCCCTTATATTAGTAGCTGCTGTATCCGCAACCCTGGCCCTGTTCAGGCTTACATGTGATGCAGCAAGAATGGAGAACCTGTTTCTCTCCAAATATTGCTGGACTGCAACTCCCATCAGCCATAGCCAGGATGGCAAATGGCCAGCTTTGATGGGAATTGTAGTCCAGGAACATCTGCAGGGTTGCACGTCTCACAACACTGTGATGGAAATTGCACGAGGGGTGAAGCAAGGCTGAGTCCATTGGTTTTGCCCCTTCACTGTGTCACTTAACCCAGTTCTGCAGCCCTTCTGCTGTTGCAGAGCAAGCATCTGCAGCAGACAGAACGCAGTAGAAGCTGAGCTGCAGGCCAGGGTGGCCAAACTGCGTGGCTCTCCAGATTTTGTTGAACTAAAACTCCCAGCAGCCCCAGCCAGCCCTGCCAAATGATCACAGATTATGAGAGTCAGTGGCGTAGCAAGGTCAGGCAGTACCCAGTATGGAAAAGTTCTTGTCTCACACACACACACACACACACACACACACCCCACATTCAAATCTAGTTGGACTCCCAAGAGACTGCGATCTACTCCCAGTATGAAAAGACTGCCTGTGATCTACCAGTTAAATAGTGGGTAGACATAGCAGACGACACAGCGATTTCTCCAAAGCAGCTCTTTATTTGTAAGCTGTCACATAACTGAACAGCAAACAGCTCAGCCGGCCTGCTTTTATAGGCAGCCGGCTGTCAACATTGTAGCAACAACAACCCAGGGTTTCCCGCCTAAAATAACTGACGTGGACCTGAGTGAAAACTACATGCACAATACTCCTGGTGGCCAGGGTGAGAACTTCAATACATAACACTACCCATTGTCATTGCTAGGAGTTGTTGAGCTTTTTGTAGGGGAGGGTTGGCACCAAATGTCACCCTCCCCCCCCCCCCGAGATGACACCCGGGGCGGTCCACGCCCACCATACCCACCTTGCTACGCCCCTGATAAAGTTACGGTTTGGCAACATTGGGAAGACCTCCTGTTCGCCACCTCAGCGGAAGCTCTTGGCAAAGCTTAGAACTCTGCCTAATCAGGGTTCTAAATTGCACAATGAGCCTACGCAAGTTTGGCGGGTTCTCTGCTGCAGAATTTCATTTTGCACAAAGCCAGGAAGGCCTCAGACCTGTGTAAGGAGATGCAGCAGAGAGGCTGGGACTAATGGGTTCATCCGCCGCTCCCTCCACTCGCAAAATCTCTTACTTGCCTTTAAATGCCTGAACAGGGTGAGGATTGCAAAAATACCAGAAGCTTATCAAAGACACACTCATATGAGAGTTCTGCTAAGATGCAAGTTTTCTGAGTATTTGGTCAGGCACAAAACTGGGATGATTAGTGCTTGTTTCCTGTTCCATCAACTTGGCTTTTAGCTGAATATTTTGTAACCCAGTACAGGATGGGATTGGGGATTATTGGTTTGTGTTTGTTTCATATTTTTAATATGTATGTTATGCTTTTTCATACTGTGTTTTTATGTGTGAAGGGCGGTATAGAAATTTAATAAATACAAATAAATAAAATAAATAAATTTGCATGAAGCACTGCTCGGTTCTACTCCATTTTCCAGATGAAACCCAACATGTTGCCTCAAGTGGAACCAAATTTATGACATTTATTGCCCAGGATTGATTACCAGGCTGCATTTTTATCAGACGCAGCAAATTCCAAATGGCCTTGACAGCTGTTTCTTGTAGGGAAAAGCAGCTGGGGGGGTATTTTTTTTTTAGCACAGTAGCAGCTGGTGTGAGGGGAGTGTTTAACTCAGCCTTCCCAACCTGGTGCTTTCCACCTGTTTTGGACTACAACTCCCATAATTCCTGACCATTGGCTACACCAGATGGGAACTGCAGTGCAAAACCATGTTGGGAAAGACTAACTTACCCCTTCTCCTGCTTGCTACTTTTCTGTTGAAAATTAAATTTAACACCCCCTGGACCTCACCTGGTTGCTTTCCCCTTGCAAGGCTCCATAGAGAGCTTTACAATAGGTACTGAACTTCACAGGGAAAGGAACAGCAGGTAGGTGCCAAATCACTTCCTTCCGAAACATTTAGTGTCAAAATGCACAATCCTTGCCCTTAAGGCTCAGTATTTCACTCCTTTGCCCTTTGATTTCCTTCTATAGAAATCACTGGGGGGTTTTCTGCACAGGATAATTCAGGTGACAGGGAGTGCTACTGTAATGTCAAGCAAGACCAAATATAGATTGAGAAGATGCAGAAAACAGTAAGGTAAATCACTTCCCTTGCTTTCCTGATGAGTGGTAATCGCAGCCCCCCTCTGGCGTCAAACGCTTAGGAACAGATCTCCAGGACTTTGGGGACTAGGGCACATGACAGATTATTTACAGATTGGCCCACCTTCCTGGGGCAGCTTGTTCCTAAATTTCCATTGCCAGCTTTGGAAATGTCGCTGGCCTCGTGCAATGCTTTCTGGTCCAGTTCTGCAAACAGAACTGGTCATATATGTATGTGAAAACAGCAAGCGCAGAATTTTTAAGATGACAAAATAACAGGGCATATGGTTTTAAATCCGAATCTTTCCAGATATTCTAAAACTAAATAACATGTGAAAAGGCACACACACACGCACACACACACACACACACACACACACACGGTGGTACAAATGCTGTAATAAATCCTCTGATGCTGTTTACACCAAGATGACATTTTGGTTCCTGGCCAGGAAAACATTGCTGCATTAGTGACAGCATGGAGATAGAGTTTCCTTACCTTTGTGTCACTATGCAGAACAGGCAAGGCATCTCCATGTGATGCTTCGCTTGGAGCGAACTGGCGTCTTCTTGATATTTCTCCCACTGTAATTACAGATGAGGGCGTACAAAAACACATCCGGAGCCTAGTGCAGAGAAAGAAACCTGGGATTATCCATCCCATAGGCTAGCAAAGCCATCCCCCCACAGCAAGAGCAGCCCATACAGAGGAGACAGAAGTGGAGAATGCAGCCTGAGTTCTGTCTCTCTTGAAAGGATCTGTCAGATCAGAACTTTGAATTCAGCAATTTGAGTAACTGCATTTGCCAAAATCTTACTTCAACAAGAACCATGCACGCCACAGACGTTTTCCCTTTTCCAGCGTTTCAATGTCATTTCCAGTGGTTAACTGGCATAAGAAGAGCTCTTTTGGACCAAGTCAATGATCCATCATGCTGTTCTCAAAGTGGCCAACTTTGCAAGATCACTTCCCCCACTTGTGATTCCCAGCAGCTGGTATTGAGATTTATGCATGTAAAGCAGAGAACAGATTAGCACTTGCAGGCTGGTTGTTATCTACAGTGCTAATAATTCCCCTCACTGTTTGTCTCAGTGAATTAATCTCAGGCTATTGGAAAAATGATGAGTCACCTTTGAGAACCAGTGCTTTCCACCTAAAACGAAGATGCTCCGTAATCAGCTGCCCCCAGGGCCGGATTTAGGTTTGATGAGACCCTAAGCTACTGAAGGTAATGGGGCCCTTTATATGCCTAGCTGTTCTTTGTCAACAACAAATTGTCACTGTTTTTTTGTGTTGAATATATGCTATATTGTTAAGTTGTGGGCGAACATATCAGACGACACAGCGATTCTTCAAACAGCTCTTGTTTATTCAGAGGCCTGAACTGAACTGAACTGAAGAGCTCAGTCAGCCTGCTTATATAGAGCTCCAGAACAATGTAACTGTAGCAACTTTCTAAAACTATCCAATCACTGAACGTCACTTTCGATCCTTCATTCGCATACAAACTATCCAATCACTGAACGCCACTTTCGATCCTTCATTTGCATAACTATCTACAGTATCCCCCTGCTGGCCCAGGGTGAGAACTTCAGTACATAACATATGTGGTAATTTATGGACCTAATAGGAGCCTACATAACACAAAACACTGTTGCTGTATGTAGGTTTTATTTTATTTCTTTTTTATCTTATACAGTGGTACCTTGGGTTACATACGCTTCAGGTTACATACGCTACAGGTTACAGACTCCGCTAACCCAGAAATAGTGCTTCAGGTTAAGAACTTTACTTCAGGATGATTACAGAAATCATGCTCCGGCGGCGCAGCAGCAGCAGGAGGCCCCATTAGCTAAAGTGGTGCTTCAGGTTAAGAACAGTTTCAGGTTAAGTACGGACCTCCGGAACGAATTAAGTACTTAACCCGAGGTACCACTGTATTTTGGAAATGTACATCCAGATTCCCCCCCCCCCCAAACTACAGCTTGTTCAGCTTATACGTAAATCTGTAACTAGCTGCCCCTTACTACTTGTCCTGATTCTCAAGTGAAGTGTGGCGCTGTTTCCTTGCCACATGGTTTTGCAAAGGCCTCTGTCAGAGGATGCAGCACGGCAAGCACTTATTCCATTAGCAGAAAGAATAACTGTGTTATGTAACTTGCAGTATTAAACCATTTCACAGATTGAGTCTAAACATTGTTCCCGGGAGGAAAGTACCGGCTGGCATAGTTTACATTTTTTAGCTTGATGGAAAGTCAAAGCACACGCGGATCCACAAGATTTAGTGATTATTAGCTGAAAGCTTTTCAGCAAAGTGTGACGTCTCTGTTTTTCACTAAGGCCCTTTTCAGATTCAGGGATCCCATGACCCTGTTAGAGATTTTCCAAGGTGCCAAAATAAGGGATTTTATCTACTCAAGAATCTCAGGATTTGGCTGGACCGAGTTTGTTCTGAAGTCCTAGTGACTGAGGAGGAAAGTAGAGAATTATTACATCATATAACTTTGAGATGCTCAATAAGCCATTAGATGTAGGAATTCGCCCCTTCTGGATGATAGGAGCCTAAGTGAGTGGAAATGCATAAAGCATAGTGGATTGGGATGTAAGAGGAGCCCTGCTGGATCGGACAACTCCCATCATCCATTGGCCATTCTGGCAGGGGCTGATCAGAGTTGAAATCAATAGGTTTCTGTTCTACATGCTCTTTGGTTAGGGCTGTACCTGAATGTGAGAAGGCAGCTCCTATGATGCTACTGGGGTGATGGTAGCAGAATTCCTTTTTCAGCACAAGACAAAAGCAGATTTTGCTATTCCTTACAAGGCTGCAACTTCTAGAAATGGAAAGTTCTCAGGTGTACAGAATAACATTTGAGTACCAATTTCCACATGACTATAATAAACAGCCTATTTATGATCAGCTAAGGGCTGTTTTGGGACTACAATTCCCATCATCCCTGACCACTGGTCCTGTTAGCTAGGGCTGATGGGAGTTGTAGTCCAAAAAAACAGCTGGAGGGCCAACTTTGGCGACCACTGAGCCAAACACTTGAAGGCTAGATCCACATGACCTTGGCTTATTCCGCCAATCATTCAATCTCACTATGAGTTACTTCAGGACAAACTAAAGGAAACACTTCCTCATGCATTACACAATCAATTCATGGGAATTCACTACCACAAGATGTTGCAGTGGCCAAAAGGCTACATGCTTGCTTTTTGTCACATTTGTTAACCCCACTCAAAGGCCTTAGGCCTGTGCATGTGGTTCTCTCACGTCCTCATTTCATCCTCAAAACAACTTTCTCAGGTATATTAAGCTGAGAGGCCACCTAGCTGTGTGGAGATTTGAACCTGGGACTCTGGCTTTGTGGTGTCAATGGTTATCAGCCACATGCCTTTAGATACCAGTGGCTAGGGATCAACCACAAGAGAGAACTGTTGCCTTCATGTCCAGCTTGTGGGCTTCCCAAAAACATCTTGTTGGCCACTGTGGGAAACAGAATGTTGGATTAGAAAGGACATTTCTTAGGTTCTTCCTTTCTTATAGTCATCTTTTGGCAGAACTCTTCACAGAACCTGTTCTTGCAAATCAGCCATCCACAATCTGGTGCCTTCCAGATGTTGTCAGACTACAAGTTCCATCTTCTCTGATCATCTGCTATGCTGGCTTGGGCTGATGAGAGTTGGAGTCCAGCAACATATGCAGGGCCATCCCATTGGGGAAGGTGGTTTTAAATGGCTCTACCTATCACACAGAGTGGACTATCATTTAGTGAAGCTGTTTACTAAATTCCATACACCCTCACAAGACACTTCATGGTGGAAGAATAAAGCCTGTGGATTGTCCTTCTAGTTTTTTTTTCAGACAGCCTGGGATATTTTGTTCCGCCACTCTTCAATCCTAGAAAGACTGCACTGTGTTGTAGCTTGAGCTCTCCTGGCACTCCAGTTTTCACCGCAAATAGTCTGTAATTATCCAAGTAACAATGATTAATCATTCTTTTTTACTCTCCCCAAGGCTTTGCTTATGATCTCGGTCGTAAATGACATTCTAGCACCCCTGCCATGCTGAATTCACCAACTTAATGCGCATTCCGATTCCTGCTGGTATTGCCAAGCACAGCATGTTCCTTTGAGTATCACAGTGCAAACCCAAACAGTAGCTCTGTTAACTGTTCAGTTATCAGCGTAATGATCTGAGAGCTTTATGAATCGGCTGAAAAGCAGCTGCAGCAGCAGCAGCCCAGAGGCACTTTCACACTCCAGCTGCAGAGCTGTACATCCCGTTGCTGGGCAGTGAGGTTTATGGTGACCACAGCTATGGACTCTGAATTCTAGCACTTCTCCCTTGAGTGGCTGCTGAACACACACATACACCCCAGTTATACTGGCATGGCACAAGTCAACACCCTTTCTCCCACCAGCTTCTTCACCCTGAATCATTCCATCTTTTTTTTTTTTTTTTACACTGGCATGTCCACACATTACACTGAGCACAGGCAAAAGCTGTCTCTATGCATGAAGAAGTGTTTGTGTGAAAGAGTGCACGCTTGTTGCTTTGTAATAGCTCGACTGTTGTACGCTCAGGTACACAGACTGTTCACTTGTTGAATGTAATGTGTGAACATCTCTAGTATGTATATGGGGAGTAAACTTGCTATTCTGGGCAAGGTATGGAGCTCATCACTTAACACACAGTACCATGCAACAGCTTCCCCAACTTAAAGGTAAAGTAAAGGGACTCCTGACTGTTAGGTCCAGTCGCGGACAACTATGGGATTGCGCGCTCATCTCGCTCTATAGGCCGAGGGAGCCAGCATTTGTCCGCAGACAGCTTCCGGGTCATGTGACCAGCATGACTAAGCCACTTCTGGTGAATCAGAGCAGCGCATGGAGACGCCGTTTACCTTCCCATCGGAGCAGTACCTATATATTTACTTGCACTTTGACGTGCTTTTGAACTGCTAGGTGGGCAGGAGCTGGGACTGAGCAACAGGAGCTCACCCTGTTGCAGGGTTTTGAACCACCAACCTTCTGATCGGCAAGCCCTAGGCTCTGTGGTTTAGACCACAGCGCCACCCGCATCCGCAACTTGGCAACCCCAAAATATTTTAAGCTGCAGGGCTTTTTTTCAGCTGGATCTCACCAGAACTCAGTTCCAGCACCTCTCAGGTAGGCACCATTGCCATTGTAAGAGAACAAGGTTCATAGAGAGTTCTGGCACCTCTTTTTCTAGAGAAATAGCACTGATCCCTATTAAAGGAGCATGGTGGCTGGGGCTGATGAGAGGCAGTTTGAAACATCTGGAAGGCACCTGGTTACTAGATTGATTTAATTTAGGATATATATATATATATATATATATATATATATATATATACACACAGAGAGAGAGAGAGAGAGAGAGAGACCTGTTCCAGAGTGGGCTGTGCCCGAAGTGGCTTACAACAAACATCCAAAATACAAAATGTTGTCCATTCATCCTTCCTGCCACTGAGTTCCACACAGGGCAACATAAACATTATTGGAGTAGGAGGGTGTTGGTGCTGGGTTAGCATAATTGCACTTGCCTGGGGTTCCTTCAAGCCCATATGTAGGAGCTTTTAAATAACTCACGCTGATTAAAGTGAAGAAATATTTACTCCCTCTCAGAAATAAAAGATGGGCACGAAGTCCTGTAAACAGAGAGTCACACCCAGCGTTTCTGAACAAGGCTCTTGACGGATTTCCTCCACGATTCCCCTTTCTGCAGGATGGCCTCCAAGAAAGGATCCGGGGTGTTTTTCATGCCACTATCACCGCGAGAGTATTATTAGCGAGCTGATCACAAGATGTAACATGCTACTGCTAATCCAGATGCCTGAGGCTCCAAACAGCCAGGGCGAGCAACATGCCACAAATATGGGAAGCAGAAGAGCTGCATGCCTATTATGGT